TTCAAACCTTTAAAAATAAGCAGGTTTACATTTTTAACCCATCATTTTGATCGGATTTAAGTTATATTTAAGATTAACTTTAATCCTGTTGCACCATAACTTTAAACTCAGATTTAAATCTCAATAATGGATTAACTTTAAACGTAACCCTTATATGCATACCTCGGGTTTTAGCGACCCGGTACATCATTCTCTACCCTCTCCCTCCTTCATTTTTTTAAGTTAGACATCAACTTTCTTAGTATTCCTCAATCTATTAATTATAAACAATATAACAAGAAAAAAATAATTAAAATATAAATGCCAGTTTTCTGATTAATTTTTTGTAAAAAGTGTATAGGGTCGCTAGAGACCCGAAGTATGTAAATGTGTATTTTTTCCTGCGCAACTATATTTACATATCTGATGCTATTGCAGCAGTTAAAGATCCATCCGTGCTGTATATATTGGTCCGGGTCGCTAAAGACCCAAATATGTAATAATGATTAGCGAAACATTCATGCATTTAAGGGTTAATGGAGGTTTAAATAAATAAAATGCTCATGCAATTAAAATATGTAACTGATCGAACAAAAACTGTAGAGATCTGACAAAAACAGGTCTCAGAGAGGTGTTTATTACAAATAAAAATGAAAATGAAAGCACATGGAGTTGGCAGAGTGCGAGGGTCGTGGCGGGATGCGGATCCGTCACTCATGGTGCACCTCGGTGTCGGACAAACAGAAGAAGTGAGGAATATTTAACAGCAGCGGTCACAGTGATGATGAGGCGAGCACCAGTGATCGCGGCCGCGCCTCTCGTTTCTCATGCCCGCTCCGTGTGTCTGCTGTCATATCATGTCATTTGTTATTTTTATTTTATCTCTGTTCTTTTGTCGTAAGTTATGCTATTACTCCATTAATTTATACTAGCCTATCCAGCGCTCCCTGAACGCAGTCTCTGGCGTATTGCCACGACTTTGATCTGATCATTAAGTCTTTCCGAGTCACAGGGCTCAAGTCCAAGTCAAGTCTCGAGTCAAGTGACTCGAGTCCACACCCCTGGTATTTGTAATGATGATGATGATGAAGGTGTGTCATTACTTGGGCATGCTGTCACAGCTGAACCATTGAATGCTGGGAGACGGCACTGCCTCCGCCACACAGGTGACCGCGTGCTTCTTACCAGGCAGCTGATGGTCAGAGAGTTCAGTTATCTGAGGAGGAACTACAGAGACAGGAAATGACATCAGTCAAAAAACCTCACAGAATAAATGAGAAAATAACTGACCAAGAAGCTTAAAGGTGAATAGTCATTTTTAAATACAAGTAATGAGTAATTTATTTGTTTATTAATTGAATTAAACCAATTAAATTTTGCATTAAATGTTAAATTAAATTAACAGAATTAAATATTAAATTACATGTACTTAGATGAAATTAAACATTGAATTAGATATTAAATTATACTAAATTAAACAAATTAAATATAAAATTACATATTTAAATATATTAAATGAATTATATAATACATTAAATATTAAACTATTGAAATATTAAATGAAGTGAAGAGAATTATCAAATAAATGCATTAAAAATAGGTTAAACTAATTAAATATTAAATTACATATGTAATTAAATTAAACAAATTAAATATTTTGTTTTTATTTTAATTACATTAAACAAATGAAATATTAAAATAAAATAAATTATTAAAATATTAAATAAAGTCAAATTATCAAATAAATTCATCAAAATTTAATTCAACTAATTAAATATTAAATTACATATGTAATTAAATTAAACAAATAACATATTGAATGAAGTAAAATTAATTGTAAAAATAAATTAAAGATTTAACTAAACTATTCAAATTTTAAATTACATATGTAATTAAATTAAACAAATTAATATTTTGTCAAATATTTAATTACATTAAATTAAATTAATTATATTACTTTATTATAATATTAAACACAAATATTTGGTTAAATTAAATTAAAATTAAAATTAAAATTAAAATTAAAATTAAAATTAAATTAAATTAAATTAAATTAAATTAAATTAAATTAAATTACGTGCATGGTTTCACAGTAATCCCAACAGGTTCATGTGACACTGAAGACTGGAGTAATTATGCTGAAAATTCAGCTTTGCATCACAGGAATAAATTACATTTTACAATAAATTCACATAGAAAACAGAAAACTTTAATAACGATATTTCACATTTTTATTAGTTTTACTGTATTTTTTAATCAAATAAATGCAGCCTCTATGAGCATAAAAGACTTTAAAAGCATTAAAAATCTCACCGACCCCAAACTAAATTAAATTGCATTACATTACATTACATGCACGGTTTCACAGTAATCCCAACAGCTGGTGTTATTCTTGGTCCAGACTTAAATGGGTGTCTGTTTTCAGGAAATGGGGCCGTGTGTAAATAGATGTCAAACTGTCTCACCTTTCACCTCTAGGTCAAAGGTCAACTCTTTAAAGTCATCTTGGTTTTGGACACTGATGGTGTAGAGACCCATCTGCTCCAGTTGGATCCTGACCAGGGTCAGTGTGCTGACAAACCTGCAGCAGATCCAGAGCACACGTCTGACATCCTGTGGGAAGGTTTAATGTTTGTTTAATAGAGGTCATGTATTGAGAGGATCATTACCGGGTCTCGTTTTCCTGTCTGGTGTTGTGTCCTCTAATAGCAGCGCCGTCTTTAGTCCAGAGGACGGTGGGTTTGGGATACGCCTCGATCTTCACCTTCAGCTCCACGTTTTCTCCGAGCAGCGCCGAGACGTTCCTGTCCAGATGAGAAGAAAGAGCCACGAATCCTTTCTCTACAGACAGACAGATGAAAATATCATTCTTACAAACGGTCACGATGAGTTACACTGAAGTTTATCAGGGTTTCCACAAAAATAATAAGCAGCACAACTGTTTTCTACATTGATGATAATCAGAAATGTTTCTTGAGCAGCAAAACAGCATATTAGAATGATTTCTGAAGAATCATGTGACACTGCAGACTGGAGTAATGATGCTGACAATACAGCTTTGATAACAGCAATAAATTACATTTTACAATAAATTCACATAGAAAACAGCTACTTTAATAATGATTTTTACTGTATTTTTTAATCAAATAAATGCAGCCTCTATGAGCATAAAAGACTTTAAAAGCATTAAAAATCTCACCGACCCCAAACTTTTGAAAGCTAGTGTATCAAATTATGATGCCTTATAAGCAAGACCGAGTGAGTTTTGCTTGCTCATCTTTCTACATAATCTATTTAATATTCCATAAGTGAGCTCATGCTCGCAGCTGATAGATCATAATCGAAGCGTTCAGGTGCTAAAAGCTTTCTTCATTAAGGCTTGCCTGCAGTCACTGCATCCTGTGTGTGTAAGTGCTGCGGACACTTTAACAAAGATCCGCATTGATCTACAGTCAGCTCCTGTGACTCTCGTATACGCTACGACGGTTTCTGTGTACGGCTGTGGTTTCATCATGTTAAACATAAACATAACTCATTTCCTTCAGCAGAAGGTCTCATTCACATGCAGCGTTTCCCCCGTGACGAGAGCAAACAGTTTTCCATCACAGGAGATGCTGCGAGACTTAAAGGGACGGGTGTTGATTTAAATATATAGTTCAGTCATGAAATTCTAGATGGGGCATTCTGACGGGGTGTTAACGTAACTGATGATATTCAGAGAGTTAAACGACTTGGCACAAGCTGATTGGTTCATGCTCTTACAGCTCAGACGATGAAGGCCGCACTTCATACAGCTCTGGTTTTACCAGAAAGCTGCAAAAAAAATTTACATACTAGTGTTATTTTACAATCATTGGGATACTATTATAGTTTTATTTTATGTGATATAAGTTTTCTCATGTTTTTTTTTTTTACTATAATAACTGTTTTTTTAAATATAGTTTTTATTCATTTTTATTTCAGTTATTTTAGCATATTAAGTTAAAGTAAATGAAAATGAGAAATGTTGACTTGGCAGCTTGGGGAAATAATTGTAATTACAATTATTAAATAAAATAAAAAATAAAAAACAGATAGATAATTTATACTTCCCTCACTGTGCTTTTTTTTTTTTTTTTTTACTTTTTTTCCAGTTAAAGTTTATTACATGTAATGAAATATTTTCATGGTTTACTCTATAACCTTGGTGTTGACTGTCACTTATTTGAGTAGCCAGACTTTATTGTATGCTTTATGTAAATGTGATGCATCTGCAGCTCTTACCCAGTACAGTGATGTCTATACTGGCTGAAGCTCTCTGGTTCAGCACACCCTCATGCACGTGACAAACATACTGTCCTGATCTGGCCAGAGACACGTCTGTGATGTTGAGACAGGACCGCATGCTCATGGACGACAGGACATCGGTCAAGAGCTCAACGCCCCCCGCCTGAGGGGCAAAAGGTTTGGGGGTTTCAGTGTTAGAAACTTTCTAACTTTTCCACTAGCACGCAATATTTGCTCCTAGAAACTGATTTTCAGGGGCATTTAGTTTCTTTTTTTTTTTTTATCATACAAAAACACTATTTTTAAAAATTATTATTTTTATCCATTTTAAAAATATATATTTTAAATGATTACAAATATTTTAATCATATAATATAAATAAATAAAATGTTACATATTTTTCCATTGATCAAAGCAAATGTCCAATAATTAGAATATCTATTACCAATTACCGCAAAAATATAACATTCAAAAACACACTCATTTGTTCAAACAAACTCCACAATTTGAATGTTAGGTGCATTTTTGTCGTTTTTGTGGCATTTTTGCCCCAAAACCGGCTTAATTTCTGACTGGTGTACATTTACATTTATTTATTTGGCAGGCACTTTTATCCAAAACGATTACATTGCATTTACTGCAAAAAATGACTTTTCTTCCTCAGTATTTTTAACTTGTTTTCCAGTACAAAAATCTAAACATTCTTAAAATAAGATACATTTACTTGAAAAGCAAAATGACATAAAGGGGTGGTTGATCAGCTTTTTTCGAAGGGCTTGATTGTGTTTATGGAGTGCATTGTAACAAGTGTTCATTTAAAATAAAAAAACAAATTATTTTCACATATTTTACCCATAGACTGTATAAAAACATGGACGTAGTGTCCGTGACGAAACGTCACGCCCCCTTACCATTACGGGTAGTTGCGTGTTCCCGGGGGTGGGGTTTATGTAAACATCAGGGTTAGTGATGTCACAAAACCAGGAAGAAGCTCGTTGTAGTCCCTACCAGCCGTTTTTTGTAGTCCTTAAACCGCGATTTCTTTAAAAGAAAATATTTCCCTTTGCATTGAACTCTGAGCGTCGTAACTTTGCATACATTGTTTATGCTCTAACAGCAACATTACACACTAACTAAAGTTCAAAAAGTGAAATCATAATCAACCACCCCTTTAAGATATTAAGTCTTGTTTTCTGAAAAAAAAAATCAGAGAACAAGACTTCACATCTAAAGTCATTTTGCTTCTCAAGTAAATGTATCTTGATTTAGGAACGTTTAGATATTTGTACTGGAAAACAAGACACAAATACTGAGGAGGAAAATGTTCAAGGGAATCAAACCCACATTTCCTGGGAATTCAAGCCCATGATTTTGTCGTTGCTAGCACCATGATTGTGTAAACAATTTAACTGACCCCTCTAAAACTAGCAAATCTGACTAGTGGAGACCAGTTCCGTGGAGAGTCAAAACCAGCAAACCACCTCAGGCTGATTTAATCTGTTTTTCAGAAATTAACAACAAAAATTAGGCGATATTCATTATGTTAATGCGCATAAACTAGAACTACAATCTTGCCTCTGGTGTCTTTATTAAACTTTGAATTTTTTTGATTTATCTCTTAATAAAAACACATATTCCTCATGAAGGTGTGGCCACACATCTTGAGCTCATTTCAACATGCGGAGCTTCTCACGGGAGCTCTCAGTGCTCGATCAAGAAAATCATGAAAACAAAGAGTTTTATTTTCAGTCCACTCACGTTTATGTCGGGAATGTCCCAAAGGAAGAAGACGAGCTCCGCGCCATGAACGGTGCAGTTGACGTTCAGCGTCTCGCCCTGTTTCAGGACCGTTTTGGAGGCGTTGATGTAGGGATCCAGAGCCTCGGGAGCTGAAGCCATGTGTGTGAAAGAAAGAACAAAAACGGCTATTGGTTGATATAAAACAAATCATCTGATGTGTTTATGAGAGACTCGGTCCGGTTAATGATGACAGATGTGCAACACAAGGACTCTCTCTATGATTTAACCATCTTACAAACACAAATTAAAAGAAAATGGTGAGTGTTTTAACTCAAAACATCAAATAATTGCCTGTAATGTTGATACATGAATGGTAAATACAATCATAAATATCTGTAATATTAAAGCATTAGCAGATGTATAGGACAAATATGAAAATCATTTCTCCTACACTGCAAAAATATATGCTTGCATATGCTTAAGACAAGAACAAATATCTGCCAATGGGGTCAGAAAAAAATTAACTTAATGAAAAAACTAAATTATTTTTCTTACCCTACTGACAGATAATTTTCTTGTTTTAAGCTAAAAAATTATATTATTAATTTTTTTTTTTTTTAGAAAACAGGAATTAGTATCTTAAAGGCAGAGTAAGTGATTTTTCAAAAACGATTTAGAAAACTGATTCGGGCCGAATCGCAAAACAAACTTGTAGCCAATCAGCAATAAGGGGCGTGTCTACTTGTGATGTGGAGGAGAGCGCGTTCAGTGCATGGGACGGACATTAGCCGAGCTGAGCGACAGAAAGATAGAGATGGCGGATAAAAAAACAAAAGAGGAAAACGTCTGCGGAACGATAAGGCAAGAAGTAGGACACGTGTAAATATCGTATCAGCTTTCCAGCGC